AGTCTTTCTTGCCAGTTTGTAGGTCTACATTTATTTTTCTACTCCAAACAAAGAACACTTTCAAATCATTACCAACAGATGTTTTACTATCTGTTCTTAAAAACTCCAAAATTTTAAACTATATCTTTGTCTACGTATTATCCACAACAATAAGGTTTCCAAATTTTCGACATGTTCCTGTACTGAATATTCTTACAATTAGAAAATTCTTCACCCAAAGTCTAACCCAAATGGCTTTTTTTTTTGCACAGTTATTGTATCCTGAGTACAGGAAGAACTGCTTGTTCCCTTCCTCTCTGCAGCAACACATTTTAAAATTAATCATATCTTCTCTTGAATCTTTTATTCAAAAGATCCTAAAAAAGTCAGTTATTTCTTTGATTATTTCAGTCCATGTTTCCTAGATCTCCAGCTTTTCTTGCTGTTGCTATTTAGATTCTTCAAAATTATAAACACCTGAATAATACCCAAAACTGTACACAACTCCTGTGGAGATATTATTTATCTCTATATTAATATAAAAAGTTAATAAAACAATTATTCATGGACAACAGATCTCAAAGACAATTTTTGCCAATGGAAAGGGAAGTTGAAGGGTTTGAGTGTTCAAGCATTGGAACATGCTGCCCAGAGAAGCAGCTGACTCACCACCTCTGGAGGTATTTAAAAGATCTGTAGATGTGGTGCTTAAGGACATGGTTTAGTGGTGGACTTGGCAGCGTTAGGTTAAGGGTTAGACTCAATGATCTTAAGGGTCTTTTCCAACCTAAATAATTTTATGATTTAAAGTTTAATAATACAACTGACTGCAAGAAGTAGCTTATATTCAACAGTTGAAAGCACTGAACTGCCATTTCAGTGAGAGCTGAGGATACTCTGCACTTTACAAAAATAACAGAAATAATATTGTCTAGCCCTGAGACAATGTAATCTTCTGAAGATTAGACAAATAATAAATTATGATTTATTCCAGAAAAAGGAGGGGGAAGGAAGTGTCCTCATTTAAAGTAGCTATGTAAAGACAAGAAGTCTGAAAAAAATGGAGTTCTAGTAGTTTTCTGATTCTGGACTAAATACAATTCCTTACCAGTAGCAAATCTTAACAAAGACTAACACTCCTATATAGCTTATTAAAACAAAACAAGAACAAAACACCTCTCCCTACTCCAAATCAACAACAAAAAAGAAACCACACAAACTCTAACCACATCTATAGTCTGAGAATCTGTAGCCTTGTGCAATAATGGACTGCAAATGTCAGTTCAGAGTATCTAATAACTCATGCAGTACTGAGCCATTTAAAAATGTTTAAGTCTTAGTATGGTACAAATAGGAAGGATAGAACTTAATAGTGTGATGGAGAGGGAATGAGGAAAATGTCATTGTCTGTATAAAAACATCCTCTTAATTCTTTATCTCAAAGAAAATTTAAAAACAGGTAACTGTATCTGAGGTAACTGAATTAAACTTGCAGAATTTCTTTGCTTGATTTTCAAGGCACTCTCATTTGTTTCAGCAAAGGCAACTTAGATGCACCTTTTGTCACCACTTCATCTTTGTTTTTTCCCCAAAGTACAAAACCTAAAGGATGGCATCACCTCTTATGAACAGTCAGAAAAATATCTGCACTATAAGCATACAAAATATATATGGTCTATACATTATATACACTGAAGAACGTGCACTCAATACACAGACAAGTTGCATATGTGCCACACAAAGGTTTGTGAATGAAGCACTTCCTTTTAGCAGCCTTCTCTTATCAAAATAGACTAAGATATTGACCACAGATGCTGTTACTGAAAAAAAAAAAAGTAAAATTAAAATATTATTAAAGAAAGGATTTTTGAGCCAATGTTAGAATGGTTATGTTCTAGCTACTGCACGCATTAACGTGCAGATGCTACACACAAAGCAATACTATGGATGCTGTTCTGGAGAGATGCGAGAATGGCCCAGTAATCAAAATCCTGTAAAGATGTCAGTTTTACTGGACTTAATGAGTTTCCCTCACCAGACCCCTCATCATCGTCAGTCGCGGACTCCTGCATCTCCTCTGTGAAAGCCTGAGATTGGCGGGGGTTATTCTTGTTGTCTGAAACAGTCACTTGTGCTTGTGACCTCTCACCTGAGGTCTCTGTGTGCTGAACTGGCGTCGAGGTAGTTAGGCCCTTGTAAGAAATGTCACCTGTCTCATCTTCCTCATAGTCATTAAGGCAGTATACTTCATCCAGGTCCAGGTCCAGGGTCCTGAAGCCCTTAGTGACAACCCCAGGCCTTGGGTCCAGGATCCCGCCCAGGTGAGGCTGAGCCAGCTGCTGCCAGTGGTGCAAAGTGGCAGAACCTTCAAAAGGGAACAAAAAGACAACCAAAATAAATCAGTAATCAATCCAGGACCTAAAAGGCAGAAAATCCCACTTTGTTTATGCAGACGAGCAAAGGTTTGGGAGCTCCAAACCTTTAATGTTTTGGGGTTTACTATTTCTAGGCTTTACTATTTCTAGGAAGACACACTACAAGGCAAAACTGCTTCACCTACTCTTCAGCATTTACAGGCCAACATGAAATAAATAGATCACATCAGCACTTAGATAGGCAAAGTCTGGTGGTAAGATGTGGCATGCTTGTGCACATGCACATCCCCTTCCTGTCAATATTGTCACCCCCTTAAATTCACAGGATTAAGCAGGAGTAGAAAGAAATTTATATTTAACAGTTGATCTGAGCACAATCACAAAAAGCTCCAAGAGGAACATATACCACATATTCCCACATTAAGTTCACACTAAGAAAGGTGCTGAAAACATGCCAGAACTTACTACCGGTGGCTAACAGGAGAACAGTAGTCACACAGATTGCACAGCAATTTCAGCATTCTACCATACATTAGAAAGCCACATCAACTCCAGGTTATGTGTAAGCAGATCATACATCAAGTCTAAATACTTCTATGGTCCCTATCTGAGCCCCTATGCTACAGGAACTTGGCTACTACGCAACTAAATGCTACTGTACCTGTAGCTTTGTCCTTGGCAGAAAAATGTTTTGAGTGAGAAAAGAGGTGCATTTTACAGAGAAAAACATTCAATATTCAGCATTCAATAGGAGACAATGAGTCAGAAACAGCAATGTATCAGGTTAAATTGATATATACACTGAGATGGGCCCACTTAAATCAGGGAAGATTTACCCGATTCCTCAAGCAGTGACTAAACACTGCTCACAAGGGCCTGAGTTTTCCTGTGTGTCCATCTATCATTACTGTGCTGTAATGTGTGACTTAAAACTATTCGTTCCAGGTCCTATGACCCAAACAAAAACATCTTTATTGTCATCTCTGCCAGCTCAAATCAGAGCAGTTTCTGTTATTTTGTTCCTGTCCCCTCTCGCCAAAGCAGAATATTGAAGCAGAATACAGTCAACGAGCTGGCACACGAACATCTCGCCAGCATTCAAAGACCAAGAACGTTTGGTACATTCCATGGTATATGTAAAAAGTCTAAACCACGGTAATAACTAGGGAAGGGATGGCTCTTATACATGTTATTTTGCATTTGAGAAAAATCATCATTTCACAATACAGATATTGTATTACAGGAAACTTATTGTAAATAGGAAGTGAACAGGGAAAACGTCCTTCTGTAGGATGACTGGGATCAGTAAGGAGCATTTTAATTGTCTCACTTTTTAAACCATGTAATTTTTAGCTCAGAATAATTGGATCTGCTAGATTACTTTGGATAACAGAGCTATTTTTTTTTCTAAGTAATTTTTGAGGGACTAAAGAGGATTTAGACTGATTGGTATTCTTAAGGCTCAAGAAGTAGAAACGATTACAACCTCAAAATAAGTAACTAATAAAGACGACATCCCTATTATCTTGTGTAACTTGTATTTATTCCTGAATTGTCAAAAAGGTCAAGATTTTTCACTTTTACATGAAAGAAATATTCCAGAATGTGGAGAAGTGTCAGATACTGTCAAGTCTTAAGCAAAGAGTAGAGCTTTCTGGTATGATAATACCCTCAAAAGTTACAGAAAAACACCACAAATCAAAATTTCCTTCTGCACAGTATGCAAGTATAAAATCCTGTTGCTAATTAAATTCTATATGCAACCTTATGAAGATGTAATCTTTTTCACCTTAAAGCTCATCAAAATTTATACTGAGAAAAACTCTGCAGAGTACAAGCATTAAATTAATAATGTTTTGTATATCTCCTATGGAAATATATTCACCAGAATAACTACATTATGGGTTTTACATGTCTTTTGACACTACATGTTACTAGATTCTTTTGGAAACTGGAAATCAAAGTGGCCTAAGCTTCCTCACAAAAAGGAGTTTCTCCCCACCTCTGTTACTTTAATCTTGATCTCATAAAACATCTGAAAGTGAGCTTTAACTTTTCCACACAGAAAATTTAACACTAAAGCAGAAAGCGATGCAACAGTTGTCAACTATCTTGTGATTTATTTATTTATTTTTTTAAAAAAGGGCCCAATTGAAGGGTGGTATACAACACCTTGGCCTATATTCAGTCTCAGGCTCCTGCTAGACAGTTTTGTAAATTATGCTATCAGAGAAAGCTGCTATGAGGGAATCAGTGTGCAACAGTGGGACTGTCAGGCTGAAGAGAGAAGAAATTTAAGAGCAAAATAAAGTATATGAATAGAGTTTGTTCTTCTATTCCTGATATTTGCATCACTGCTTGTATAGCATAGGAGTCAGAAAGCTTGCAAATTGATGATGTGTTGCTGCCACAATTGCAACAAAGGGAGTGAAGACATAATCAGTCCAAGGTTCAAGTTTTTCCTACAGGACACAGGGAGTGCTATTTTGTGCTTACGGTATCACAAGCTGCAGATGCACAGTTTAAAAACAAAAACCAACCCAAAACTTCCATCAGACTGTAAATAAAGCAAGTCAAATCAAGCAATCGTTCTATTCAACTAAAAGAAAAGAGTTTTTTTGTTTTGGTTGTTCCCTTTTTTTTCTTTCTTTTTTTTTTTTTTTTTTTTTTTTTTAAGATGTGAAAGAAGAGGATTCATTTCTTAGTGCTTCTGTCGCCTAATTTATTTTACTGTGGGATTTAAAAGATTGCTTTAAAGGAACAAAATCCACTAACCTGAAATGTATTACAGAACTGCTTTTTCCTTTCCCCATTTTACGGGCGTGAGCATCCTTAAGAAAATAGTATATAGAAACCAAAGGCACAACTACTGTTAATAGTCTGTAGGTACAGCAGACTATTTTGCCCCAATAGTTTGAAAGTATCCATGAAGTTGGGGAAAAAAAAGTTAAATCTCACAGAAAATGCTCAGGATATAAAATAATCTGAAGTGATGAACAGAATCATAAACACGTATTTAATAAAGATAACAAACACTAAACTTAGGAAACAGGCAGACACAAACACACTACAAATGAGATGTAAAACTATACATGAGAAGTACTTTAAATGGTTTAAAATAATTTTAAGGAAAAAAATGACCCAGAGAGAACAATGAACAAGACCAGGGAAAAAAAAACCCAGACAGATAGAAAGATGATAAAGACTTTTAAGAGTTTATTGAAAGAAAAAAGCAGATATAATGGGATGGTGACAGAATTCTATTACAGTGGTAGCAATCAGTAACTGAAACAAAGCTAGATCATCCCTTCCCTCATTTGGTACAAGAATTTTTACGACCATTTAAAAGCAGTCATGAAAAACTACTAATATCTGCTAAACAGTATGGACTTGTGTGCTATGGCTATAGTTTCATTTGAATAGGTAGATACAGCACATCACTTTCTTCAGGACACAGGAAGAGTTATTTTTGCTTTTGCATATGTGTCATGCTAAATGCTCCTTATAGGTGAAATATATTTGTTCTAAAAAGATGAAAAAGGGAATTTCTGCAATTAAAACACACAGACAATGTAATGTAACACTAGAGTTTTGTTAAAGGAAAATAGAGAGAGAGAAATTAAAGTTAAATTGTGTAACTAGCATATCTGTGAAGTACTATAGGAAAACAGCTTCATTTTGTTTAAAATCTGAAGGAATTTACTCAACTTTAACTTCCAGCAACAACCTGAAAGGACTGAAGAAAGCCAGGTAGACTGTGCTCTGTCATCTTTGTTAGGCAGACTACAAAAACACACTTAACTCTGAAACAAAGCTCTAGCTCTGACTACCATCTACCTATCTCTTGCCACCTTCTAAGACAATATATTGAGAAAATTGACTAAAAAAATCTCACCTCATTTCATACATGAGACCAAAGCCATAGAGACTCATGTGTGGCCACTCCAACAGCCAATTAAAGTCCAGAGGTCATTTTCAATCACAAAAATAGTCCTGTTAGACCAAGTGGACTATATGAAGTAGGTAAAGGTCTTTCCAGACACCGATTTGCAGAACTGAGATTTGATGAACTAATACTCTAGTTGCTTAGATTTCGGATATTCAACCACTACCTTTGTCTAAGTATGAAACAGCCACACTGGGATTTGGGTTAGATGTAAGGCTGCACTGCTGATGCTTGTGTGGCCTGTAACACTTATTTAATTCCAACATTCACTGGAATTCAACACTGTGGCTGGAATTCTTTCCTAACACTTTTAAGGCTTGAGGAAAAACATAGTAGTTAGAAGATTTCAAACCAACAGCGTGGATTACTGTCTCTAAAGTAAAAAGAATACGTATTGCAAAGATTTCCTGCTTTCTGATGATGGATAAGAGACCACAAAGAGTCACTAAGAACAACAGATAAAGGCCGAGGCCCTTTGTTATCACCTTCTAGTGGTTTCACAATCTGAAGCTTTTCTGGCAGGTAGGAGCGACTGCTGATCGACATTCCTGAATATCCCGTGAACTCTGAAAATCTTGAGTGAGTTCCCAGTGACATGATGCTCTCTGTGGGGGTAACAGAACCACTATGGAGTTCACCCTTTTCTGCCAGTTCCCGCAACTTCCTTTCCTGCTCTTCTTCAAAGAACTTCCGCTCCGAGAGGTAATTCTCCCGCCTGAGGGACAGTCTACGAAGAGCAGTCTCTAGGTCACTGGAGCCTGGAGTCCCTGGAGTTCCAGGCTTCTTCATCCTGTCTTCATTTCTAAAACATAATAGGACACACACACACACACACCCCAAAAAAAAAAAAAAAATGGGAGGGAGAGGAAAAAAAATAAAAAGAAAAAAGAGATGCTTAAAAATTCCACATCCACATGACAATTTTGAGACATTCACCAATACTTTTAAATTACTATGTCTGGGAACAACTTGCAACTTTCCTGGAGACTTCAAAGGCAAACACCAATAGTTTGTTTCTCTTTCATACTAAAACCGTTTTGAATCCTAGTTCCTGCCTGGAAAGTCCTGGCTGGAAAAGCTGTGCTTTATTTAAGAGCTTCCTCCTACAAGGAGATGAGAGACGCTTACTTCCTGTGGGTCTCTTACAGATACACAAACTCAAGTAACCAGGCCACATCTTACAGGGCCAACACTGCAAAAATACCATAGAGTCACAAGAGTATATTATGCTGATAAATATTCATTGTTTTGAGATATTAAGTCATTTTTACTGTAAAATATACATAGCATAGTGTGGAGCTGTACTAGGGGAAGAGACAAGTAGCTAGAAGAGCAAAGTTCTGATTGGTTTCATTCACAAGTTTTCGTATTAGGTAACCTACACACACTTTATTTTTTTATTTTTAAAATAACTCAAAAGAGTTAGGTATAGGTGCAAGTCCGATCAGAACTCCCTGGCATTAATGTAAAATGGTGAAAATACAATCAGTTTTAAGTGTTGACCCACAGTTGCAAAGACAAAGGGTGGTTTTACATCATCTGGTGCTGCTCCATCTCAGAACAGTTGCGTGTTGCAGACACTGATACACGGTACTTTCAAAAAGCTTTCCTTTTTAAATAAAATTGAGCACTCGAGAACTATAAGCACAAAATAAAGTAACTTCTGAAGACGCACGTCATTGTGCTAACTGCATCATGTAAGACAAAAAGAGGAAAACAGAAACACTTTGCCTTCATGTCAGAAACAAAGCAAAAGCAAAGCCCAGTGCTGCAGTACTGACCCATTATCAGAGGATTCTGTCTCTAGGATGATACTATTGGTCTTGTTGTCTATCATAATGTTAGAGATGTCTCCCCCATAGAAACTGGAACGTGGAGTGCTGATACAGCTAGAAATGACGGAGTTCATAGCAGAGGACTGGTTAGAGCCTGGGATATTCATTGGTGATGGAGTCATGGATCTCTGCTTGACAACTTGATTAACATTTCTCACCGTCTCAAAGACACGCTTCTGATGACTGGTAAGACACACACACAGTTAATAATCACACAGTGTCTTCTTACCTCAAGAAGGAACAGAGAAACAGGTAACAGCTTGTTAACGACCCTTCCTATACACAGCTCCACCAATCATCTTGTCTTTATAATAGTTTCTGTAAAGTACTATGCATAGGGTCCCATACTTGCTACAGTCTGGCCATTACATTCAATCCATCAACATAATACTGCCATCATCCTAGAATATTTTAGACAGAACATTTGAGAATTATGTGCATGGATCCTCTCACGTATTAATAAAAATTAACTGAAAGAGCATTCAGTACCATCAGCTAATAATGCCTTAAAGCCATTGTGTGGAAATGAATTTTTAAAAACCAAAATTGATCTCCATTCAGTTCTTAACTATGAAATGGTTAATCCATTTTAATACAGAATTTTAATTTACTCTACTGAGTGTCTCTATGTAAACAAGTCTTGTATCTTTTCTTGTTGAAACCAATTTCCAACCCCCTTAAATAGCATTAAAAAAAAAAAGAAGAAAAATCAGAAATATAATGGACTAAGTCTAGAGAGAGGTGGTCAAGGCTGGAAACCTAATTTTTGACCTACTTCTACAGTTAATTCTTTATGACCATTGTCCTGCTATTGTAATGAACATTGTTTCTCTACTTCAAGATTAAGATCAGATGACACCTCAGTAGAAACTTCTTGACAAAATAAACCTGCCCTACATCATGGCTACAGAAGTGCCATTGCTGCTTTGTTATACAGTTCAACAATGGCTGAACACAGGAACAGTGCAACCCTTCCAGCTGAAAGGTAACACTGCCAGGGTATAACAATGACAGCATGCCTTATGCCATTTAGTGTCATTAAAATTTCTGTCCTCCTGTCTACAAGTGCTCAACAGTTGCGATCTTTGTGTGTAGGCTCCAAGTCTATAGTTGTATATCTTTAGGAGGCTGAATCTAAGAGCACCTATCAATAAACAGTCCCACAAAGGTTACAGTTACTACTGCTGAGCAAATAAATAAAACCAACATAAGCCATGAAACAAAAAAAAAACACGTATTCTTCTTTGGTACCTGCATAGTAATATAAAAGACATTCTAAAGAAGTCAAACTATCCTTAAGTTACATTACTCTGGAAGGACAAAAGGACCCTATGGGGTTTGAGCAAGCTCACACCTTTCTGATCTTACATTTTTCTAATCAACATTTCACTCTGTCCAAAGCTCATTTACAGTTCTCGGCTCATGCTCAGAGAAGATTTAGTATGCGTCAAGCTTTTTGTAAATATTCTTGGAAGGTTTCTGGGAAGTGGCTACTGTACCTTCTCTGTCCTTTCTTCGTAAACTGTCTTTCCCCAACAGACTCTCTAAATAGGATTAACTTGTCTCAAATTAATCAGTTCACGCTTTGTACAAATAGGTGAAATAAACCTACTGGAGTAACACATGCAATTGGTGTCAGTAAGGCCATTTCCGCCAAGCTGCATCTGTCTATAGCTTTTGGACTGTCACAAGTACTTAACTTGTTTCAAAGCACTCTTGTTTAATTCAAGAGAACTTTAGCACAGGTGTAATAGGCATCACACTGTAAGCACCCAACCACTCTGAATCCCTTTCTGCACTGATGTTCTCCCTGTAAAAACTGGATTAGATCAATAATTGCCTCATAACTTCTGTTATAACACCTGAACAGAAAACCTGAGGAATAGAATTCATTCCCTATTCCTTAACTGAAGAAACCTAGCATGGTAACACATAAGAAATGTGGGGACGAATGAGGTCCCGACTGAGAGCTTATGGGTTAGGATTAAAGGGAGAGCAGGGACAGGGGACGTAGTAGTAGGGGTCTGCTACAGACCACCTGACTAGGAGGATTGGGTGGATGAGGCCTTCTACAGACAGATAGGAGCTGCCTCACGTTCACAAGCCCTGGTCCTCATGGGGGGACTTCAACCATCCTGATATCTATTGGAAGGACAACACAGCAGGGCATAGGCAATCCAGGAGGTTCCTGGAATGCATGGATGATAACTTCCTTCTCTAAGTGGTAGAGGAACCAACGAGGAGAGGTATGGCATCCAGTCATTATTAGCCAGCTGGATTGAGTTGAATATAATGACTATTTAACTAATCAACTCAAGGTACCGACCCTGCCTACAAGAGGCAGGCCATTTCCTCCTGGCTGCGGGAAGATGCGACAGCGTCCTTGGTGCTGCAGCCCAGGCTGGTGAGCAACA